CTGGGAGTTTTAGGTTCAGCCACAGCCTTTGCCATGGAGTGGGGGATGGCCTGGGGCGGTGGCTGCTGCAGGCCAAGGAGGCCCAGGGCAGCAGAATGCAACTGCTCCCTGTCTGTCCCCACCCCAGGGCACCTACCAGCCTGATGGTCTGGGTTGGGAAAGAGGGAATGGGTGAGTTGGTGACAGGTGTAAAGAGCCCTTCTCAAGAAGTCAGAAGAAAGTTAATTTGCTATTAACTGTGGGCCCTTGGTCAATCATGCCACTCACTGTTCTGGGCCTTGGTTTCCCTATGTGCCTTGGGGCGGGGGGTGGGAGTGGTGATAGTCACTGTCCTGCCTACCTGACACGGTTGGGCAAGGTGAAGGTCAGAAGGGGCAGGGCAGGCTGGTGGGGAGGCTGGTGGAGTGGTGGCCCTGCCTGCCCAGGGTTGGGAGCTGGAGGATGTGGATGTGGAGACTGTCATTTGTGGGCACAGTGCTCACAGAGGTGGCTGCCTTTTCAGGTGCCGGAGGATGTTGATGTGTGTTTGTGAGCGTGGGGGCGTGAGAATGTGCAGATCCGCGAGTGTGAATGGCTTGTGAATGTGCCCACGTGGGTGTGTCCCCCACACAGACACCCTCATTGACTGAAAGCCCAAGTGGGCTGGGCACTTGGTAAGAAGGAAATAAGACAGAGGCTTGCTCCTCTCTCAAGGAATTCATGGTCTCCTGGTGGAGGTGAAAACGATCTAGTGATACAAAGAGATAAAAGCAGGTACCTAAGGAAGGACCCCAAAATGTTACGTGAGTGATAAAGCAATGGAGACACTAACAGGAGAGGAGACAGCCCTGGGGGTTATTTTGAAGAGAGTTGTGGAGGAGATGAGCCGGGACTGGTGCTCCCATGGTGGGCAGGGCACCCCAGGCTCGGGGGAAGGGAGAAGGGTATGCCCAGTTTGGCAGGCAGAGGTGAGAGGTTAAACGAATCTGCATGTGGGCCCCCTTCAGACATGTCCCCCTCAGTGGCACTCTGCTGGTTCCTCTGGAATCTAGAAGTCTACCCAGATGTCAAATCTGAGGCTGTGGTGAGGAAAACGTATAGAGAAACCATCCTGGGCTTTGGGGTTGGGGGTGGCAGGGCAGGGGTCAGGGCTGGAAGAGGAGAGTTCACTTGGAAGAACTCCCAGAGGGTGGAAGTCCAGGGTATCACAGGCCTAAGGCAACGCCAGCTCCAATTCTGGGAAGACAGAGGGTGTCCTCTGGGAGAAGTATCGGTGAAGCTGGGGCCAGCCCTTGCCAGAGGCGCCAGTCCAGGCTCTTTGGGTTGCGGGGGTCTCCCCTGCCCTCCATCGCTGGAGACTTGGTTATGTTTGATCTATCTGAGTATCTCCCCTGTGAGCTCCAGCTACCCACACAGCTACACCAGGGTGACACCCCACAGACATGAGAGCAAGGACACCATCACATGGCTCACTTCTGTTCTCACAGTACCCAGAACGGGGCCTTGCACACACTAGGCACCTAGCATTGTCTGAGTGAATGCGAGGGCACTAGGTAGCCATGCCAAGCGTGGGGTGGGAGTGGGGGGATGGCCCAGAGAAGAAGGGGTGTGGACAGGCAGGAGGAGTGGGGTGGCTGGGTGGGTTTTCATATCCTAGAACCAGGGTGGCTTGAACCCTGCTCCAGGGCCCTTGCTGTGGTGCTGGCAGCCCAATGTCTGATGGGATCCTCCCACCAGAAATGTCTGGGGTTGGCTGGCCAGTCCAGCCTCATCAGCTGCACCCAGCATCTGTCTGGCAGAGCTCAGGGGTGAGGAGAGCTCCATAAGTGGGGAGCAAATCCGTTTAGGGCCACACAATTGGAGACCAACTAGTCCAATCCCTTGTCTTGATGAGGTAGAGATCAAGGCTCGGGGATGTGAGGTGGCCCGTCCAAGGTCACAAGATGAGAGTTCAGATGTCAAGATCTCCTCACTTGCTGACCACATGGACATTGTCTCATCACAGTACGAAGAGGAATCCTGGGGAGGGTTTCACTCCCTCAGCTCTGAACAACGTCACTCCCCACCCTGTATACGGTCATGCCAGGTTCATCTAGAATAATCTCAGGCTCCCTTCCCACCCTAAGCCTGTCATTCACACATAGGTCCCAAGAGAGAAGGGGCCTAAATAGGACTGGGTTCAGTTCCCTGTCTTCCATGGATGCCCCTTACCTGGCACCTGTAGTCTGACCTCTCCCCGCCAATCCCCAGAAGCTGTTCCTGCCTGTTTGCCCAGGGGACACAGTGACTTGTTACACCATACCTCCCGAGGACACCCTGGACCAAGAAAACTAGACCAAGTTGGGTACCGGGGCCTGCCGCCTGGGGCTCCAGGTGCCCCGGGTGCCCCCCAGGCCCTGCGTCCTGACGTTGTGCAAGGGCCTGCAGCTCCTGCTGTGGCATTGCCCCGGGTTCCCCCACGCTGCTCCGGGCCCCGGCTGCCTCACATCTTGGTGCCTCTGGTGGCCTCCTGCCCTCTCGCTCTGGTTGGTTCTGCCACCTTTCCAGGCAGGTCATCTGTACAACCTGTTTCTTTTTTCTTTCCTTTTCTCACTTTTTTTTTCTTTTTCAAAATCTGTGCATCTGCGATTTCTCCAACCCAGAGCTCCCTCCTTCTTCGCTCAAGGATTTAAATCTCCTTTTTCCTGGGCCCAGCCCGTGCCTCAGCCCCTGCAGGGCCACAGAGATTTGTAGCTCATCTACAGTCAACCCCTCATTTGCTAGAGGAGGAAACTGAGGCCCAGAGAGGCTAATTGATTTGCCCCAGAGTCAAATCACTAGCTAGAGAGTGGAAGTCAGGATTTCCTCACCCTGCAGTAAAACACCTTCACACCTTCCTTGGCTGAAGAGGGCGTGCTGTCCTGGAGAGAAGGGATCCTAGGAAGGGAAACCGATCCCTAAGTCTACAGGATGATCTCCGGCTGTCCTTACAGTCAGAAGCATGCAATTAAGTGCTTAATTATAAGCTGCTCTTCTGTGCTATTTATTCATTCCCAAAGTAGACTGAGAGACCCTTGAGGGCAGGGAAAGTTCCCTGTGCCTCGGATGGTGTCCTCTCTGCAGTCCCTAGCAGAGTGGTAGGCACATGGAAGGCGTCACCTTGTGGGACAGGGACTTGGACGGAGCTTTCACTTGGGAGGATAATTTTCCTGCATTTATTTCTGGCAGCAAACGAAACATCACAGAAACCAAAGGGACTCTGCTCAGAAGCAAATCCAGTTTCTGAGTTTTCAGTAGATGAAAGGTGGGTCATGCGGGTGATGGGGGAGAGTGCACAAGGAATCGTGGTTTCGGCAAAGAGCCAAAGAGACAAATAATGAGTTTCAGGCCTGAGAGGTTTCCAGTTTCCTTGCCTTGCCATCAGTGTCCAGTGAGGGTGGGTCAAGACTTTGGTGGTAACATGGGCCACTGTGTTTTTTGGAGGATAGGCTGTGGTTGAACCTCAGGAGCCCCAGCACGGCCGAGCTGGGAAGAGTCTCTAGTGTGCACGGCCTCCCTTCCTCCCTGGCCTCTTTCACCTGGCATGACCGAATGCTCTCTCCTGCCCCCTCCATCATGCCCTCAGAGAGCACTTGCCCCTGTAAGAGGCTCCTTAACGTGACCCTGAGCATTCTCCCACCCAGGGCATTGGCATTGTGACCCTGAAGTCTAATGGTGGCACTCAAAGGCACGACCTTATTTTATGAGGTGGGGGAATGCTGTACATAGGCTGAGACACTAGTCCTCAGCCCCATGGAATCACAGTGCCCAGACTGGTGGCAAGGGCTTCCTGACATCTTCAGTGAGATTGGTACCCAGGGCCCTGGAGAGATTTATCTTGGCCTGGGCAAGATGCATTTTTTGTTTTCTTCTCTCTTTGCATCCAAACTTAAAAGTGTATCTTGGGCAAAGCTGTTCAAACAGATTTACAGATTGGCAAGCTGCTGAGGGCACCTGGGGAGGGTTCACTGGTAGAAAGGTTGCACCAAGTCCACTCCTGGGGCGACCCGTGTGATTGGTGGCCCCTGCTCGGCACATGTAAACGGCTCCATTGCTCACCCAGTGCCTTTCTGGGATCCACACTCCTCTCCTCTGGGGCCTCAGGCATCAGCGTTGTAACAATACCTGTGCTGGCTTCCCAGTGGGTGGAGGTTGGCCAGGGTCACTGGGTGAGAGGAAATGGCTGACGACACCCACCCTCCTACTCACGTTCTCGCCAACCTAGGGACGTGCTCTTTGCACTCTCAAATTGGCATTTGTGCATTCTACATTATCTTCCCTTCCCTAAAATTGGAGAGATGATAGACTGCACAGGGATTACTTTATTTCCCATTTTCTTGGAGAGACATCTAAGGCTGGGGGAGTGGCACACACAGGGTCAGGTGAGTCACCTGCGGAGTGTTGCAGTCGCCTGGTGTCCACACTTCTCCTACTCCCCAGCCATGAGGAGGCTTCGGGGAGTGGGGCCTCTCCAGAGTCTGAGGAGTACTGCTCAGAGAACCTAATGGAGGGGGGTGTGGCTGGGGAAGTCTTTGCCCCACCACCGAGATGGCACAGGCTGCCCCAGCAATTAGCCGCCAATGAAGGCAGACTGGCAGGATGGCATTCCAGGGCCCTCTTGCCCAGATCAGACTCAATTACAGGGTACAATTACCTGCCAAGGTGTTGTGGGGTAGCTGCCTGCACATGCCATGCAAGGTTTCAGGGGTGCTTCTTTCCCTGCCTGCAATTGCTCCCTTTTGGGACCCTGCCTTATATACCAACCTACCCAGCTAAAGCCACCATCTTGGTCTATGGGACTTAACTTTGGGGGGAAGACCACATCTGAAGCCAACATCTCCTTTAGGGCACTCATTCTGGTTCACTCCCAAGAAACCCCACCACCCTTTGACCCCAGTCTCCAAGGCTGATGGGTGGGGTTCAAGGTCCCGACTCCCCCATAAAGCACCAGTTCTACTGCAGAATTCACCCTGGCTGCAGCTTGAGGGATGGGAAGGCCTTACCTCGAGTTTTGTTTTCTTTGGAAAGGAGAGAGATGATCCTTCCTTCCTGAGGGTAGATGAAGAATTGGTAGCGATGGAAGCCACTGTGTGCTGGTGGGGAGGGGGCCTGGTAGGCTGTGGGTAGAAAAAAGGAGAAGGGCGGGCTCCACATCCCATACTACCCAGGACAGAGCTCCTGATTGCAACTGCTTCTGGCTGTTCTGAAAAAGAATCATCCATGTCTTTCCATGGTCCCTGCTGCCCTTCCTAGGGTCCCAGATGTGGGCTCACCCATTGCAAACCATTAGGATTTATATTTGGCAGGATCTTGCCTTCAGTTAAGAAGTATGTTTTTGGGGGGAGTGGGGAGTGGGAGAGGCGGTGGTCCAGGAGGAAGCGCTCCGGGCTGGCTTGAAGGTCTTGGGTGCTGGCGTGGCTCCCAGGCCTTGCTGGGCCAGTGGGTGTTGGTATTGTCCTGTTTTTGCTTTAGTCTATCCTGATGGATTTCCTGCCTCAAGAGAAACCCATCTTCCTCTGCGAGTGTGTTTGGCAGTAGATTTTTATTTATTTTTTCAGCATTTCCTTATGAACTCGATCCCCAAAGAAGCCAATTTCTTGGCTGGGTCTGGAGGATCTGGAAGTGGTTACAGAGGTGGGTGGGACGGGGTTCAAAGTTTTGATCATGGGAGCTGCAGGAGCTGGGTGCTGGGGACACCAGGAGAAGGCCCGTCTTCCCCTTCTTCACTCTCCCTCTGAGAGGCTGGACTTTTCTGGGGCAAAAGTGGGGTGGGGACATTCCTTATCTGTCCCCCAAGTCTGTGCAGGGAGTCAGGGTCTTGCTGGCCCAAACTGGGTCTCCAGCTGAGCTTCCTCCCAAGAGTTCCTTCCCTTTCCCACCTCCCTCCCTGTCTCCATCTCCTTTTGCAAGGAGGAGAGGCAGTCCAGGGCCAAGAATCTTCCTGGGGTGGGGGAAGGAGTGTTTGCAATGAGGATGCTGGTGGGAGGGAGCCTTGGTACTTTATGGCCATCTCCCCCTCCTCCTCATTAAACAAAGGAGCAACTTGCTGTTAGGAGCTGTTGGAAGTGTTTCTCATTGTGCACTTCCGGCGACTGGGGCCTCCAGCATGCCAACAGCCAGGGGAATTCCTGATTATTCATCTTTCCATGAGTTTTTGGATTGCAGATTGTGTGTGTGTGCATGTGTGTGTGTATGTGTGTGTATGCTCAGAGCGAGAACAGAGCAGGGTGTGCTGGGAGCCATGTGAGTTTATGTGGTTTGGGGTCTATACTCAGGGCAGGTGTGTGTACTGGAAGGGCCTGTGTACAAAGGCCTCGAGGCTGTTTTGGAGGGTCTCTGTTGGTGTGTGTGTAAATGTGTGTAAATTGGCACTTCTTCACCAACACTGCCACTGGAGAGAGAGGCTTCTGCACCTAGTTGGGTGTGGGAGTGTCTCTTTGTGGAGGGTCAGCTTCCAGCGAGGCTGGTGGGTATGTGGGCTGCACTTGAGGGTGGCCATGTTCCATGCTGCTGAAGACAGGGGACCGTGATTCTGTGTGGACAAGTCTGAAGTGAGAACTTGCTGGTTCTATGGAATGGGAAATTTATCCCCAGGGGAGATAGATATTCAACTGCTCTCACTAGGGCTTTCCTGAAGAATCCCCCCTTTGAATCCCCCCAAAACAGAGATGCAAGGTGTGGGGAGGAAGGGGAGGGGCACACGCATGCTGAGCCACTTCTCTGGGCCAGGCCTGTGGCTTCACTCATCACTTGGTGAGGTAGGCCCCATCTCCTTTTCCTGGACGAGGAAACTGAGGCTCCGAGAGATGAAACCAGGCTGACAGTAGGCAGTGGAGTTGGCATTTGAATCTGGGCCTATCTGGGGCCCAAGCCCAGCCTGCCTCACGGGACCATGAGGCTGGTTTTGTGCTCAGTACCCTTGCCAGAGGCAGCTTAGCACCTGAGCCTCCTTCAAGTTGAGCAGAGGGTGGGCATCTGAGAGGGGGGTGCTGGGGGGTGCCGAGGGTGGGAAGGGGAGGGCATCCAGCATGCCAGACCCCTGCATTTGGAAGCTGGCTCCACCCCTCACAAACTGTGTGCCATGGGGCAGCTCAGTCTGGCCTCAGATTCATTCTCTTTACAACTGAGACGTGACCTTAAAAGACAGGCATGGAGATGAAATCAGTGACATCAGAGCACTCCAGGAAACTCTCAGAAGTGCTATGATTACAATTCCTGTGGTCTGCACTGAGGGCCTGGCTGGGGGAAGGGGTGCTGGAGGGTCTTACTCACCTGATAACTCCTGGCCCTGAATCTTCCCTTGCTTTATGTCAGTGCCCTGAAATTAGAGACAGGAAGGACCGCAGGTTACTCCTGCAGCAGCGAAGGCCTTCCCAGCCACACTTCAGCCCACGTGGGTTCTGTGGAGTGTTTCTCTCTCTGAGGGAGTGGGACGGCAGAGGTGGAAGATGCGGGGCTACTCCCGTGAGATAGGCCTTTGGGGTTTTGGAATGGGTGCCTCGGGGTCCAGGGAGGGAGGAGAGGCACAGATGTTGCTGAGGGTGATCTGGAGGCAAGGGGTGGATCACTTGAGCTCTGGGGAGTACTGGCGGGACACTTCCCAAAGGACTGCCCTACAATCACCACCTGTCTCTGCGACTGGGCACAGGACATAACTGTCATCCTGCAGGGTGTGGTCAGATCTAAGGGAGGGGCTGACAGTCCTCAGGGGCTCACTAATCAGCCCTTGCTTTCAGGAGAGAGGGTTCAGCTCTTTTGGAGCCTTTAGAATATTAGGCCAACAGCCGTCTGAGCAACCAGAAAGGGAAGGGAGGGCCGGAGGAGGCCAGACTGCCTGATTCTGCAGCAGCTTCCTTCCCAGCCCCCAGGTGACTCAGCCCACAACACCCCTGGCAGATTCTTTGGTCACTGGGATAGCCTCAGTGTCTCCCCCTCCTCTTCCCCCCACCCAGTGTCTGTGGGATAATGAGGTGATCCTGGGGGCGGGCGCTAATTACTGTTTGTGCAGGACTGGGAGATGCGCACATGAAAGGGATGGAGCTGGGCCCCTGGGTCTGTGCCACAGTGCGGGGCCCCAGGACATGCCAGCCAGCCCTGCAGCCCCTAGGGGTGGGGTTTTTATAGGCTTAATGAAGGCGATTAGCGTGGCTCTTAACTGAGTCTGCCAGCACCTAACTGTGCCCTGGCCACCTTTCCACCAAGCCCTTCCGGGTGCAGGCCCTTGCCCTCCCGCTGCAGATAGGGGGTGGGGGGAGCCTGGGAGGCCCCACTTGAGTCTGGGTAAGTGTGTGTGGGGGTAAGATCAATCCCTAGCTTGTGGTTTACTTTTTGCAAGACTGAGGTCCTGCTCACCACTGTAGAGCCCACCTGATCCCCCTTTAAGCTTCAGCGACCATTTTTGCTTTGGGCCTCCTTTGCCAATTTCCCCCTCCACAGGCCCATTCCTATGGTTCACATTTGGTTGGGAGAAGGGGCAGGAGACTGTGGAAGGACAGACCCTCACACCATAAGACACTCCGCACTTGCTCTTCACCCTCTGCAGGTGGAATCTCTTTCCTCTGACATCCTCCTTCCGAACCCCACTCTTTCCTGCGCAAGCACATCCAGGCAGCCTTCGAGCTCAGTCCCACCAGCACAGCAGTGTGTACTCCGGCTCTGCCTTGCCCCTCTCTTGGCGCATCCCTTTGAGCCCCCTGCACTTGGGGCCTAGCATTATGCAGGGCTGGCACTGTCCAGTGCTGGGGTGGCTAGGGGCTGAGAGGCTGGGCTCCGGGATAGGGATAAGGGGTTGCAGGATGAGGCCCCTGCCCTTGATGCTCGTCTCTTCCAGAAGAGGAGGCCTAGCAGCCACTCTCCCAAAATAGCTCTTCCGGCCACCCTAGAAAGAGTGGGGGATGGGGGCTGAGCCCTGAGGAGCCAAGCCCAGCCTGCTCTCTGCTCCCAGCCTCCTCCTTATTCCTTCCAAGCCAGCCCAGCCAGCGGTTTGTTTAAACACAACAATAGCAACCGAAGCTGGCTGTTTCTTTTCAATTCCCCACGGGCTTGGGTCCCACCCAAGGTGAGGGCAGGGAGCGGGTGGAGGTGGGGGCTGGGCCTGACGGGTCAGGCAGTTGGTTTGCCAGAGCAGTGCCTGAGCCACGTGGAAAGTCTGATCTGAGCCTAAGTCTGATCTGAGCCTTGATCGGGTGGGAAGGCTCTCCCTCCCCTCCCTCTCATCCTGGGGAACGTTTTCTCAGTCATTGGGCCAGGCTCAGCAGAGCTCATGCACACTCTTGGGAGGGTCCACTGAAGCAAGTCCCCAGCCCTGCTGCCGTCCTCCCTGGCTGCCCTGCACACCCTGCTCTTGCTGGGCTGGGGCACTGGTCCTGTGGATAGAATCTGGTCTTGCTGGCAGGAGGGCAGGGAAAGCTCTGGTGGCAGAGGTGGCCCAGCGGCATGTGTAGGTGTAGATGCTGTCCACTCTGGTTGGGCTGAGGCTCAGCTGAGCTCCTGTGAGCCTTAAACCCTCCCTCACCGGTCAGTCCTGGGTGAGGGGTGGTGGTACAAAATTTCTACCATAGAGTCAATGCCTGGTGGGGGTCTTAGGAAATCAGATTCTAAAAGGTGAGAAAGTTGGGCCCCATAGAGGTCAAAGGACGTGTCCTGAGCCACACAAGCAGTGAGTGGGAGAATCCCAGAATGACCCCGAGGCCTTGGAGACCATCTAGCTCAAGGTCTTATGACTTTTGACCAGCAGTGCTGTCCTGTGCTTCTTCTAGGTGTCATGACTAACCCATCGTTTCTCTGGGAGGCATCACTTTTGGAAGACCATTATGAAAACACACAGTACCTGGAGAGCTAGGGCTGCTTGTGGTGGCAATGGTCCCCTGACCCCATATAAGCTCTTCTCAAATATCTTCATGGATTTGAATATTACATGGAGCTGGCAATCACCTCAGAAAGCTGGAACTCTCCCAGGATGGATGAAATTCGGGGAAGCTTCAGGAGCTAAGGGGGAAATCTATAGTTCTGAGCCCTGTCCCAGGATGCCGGGCTGGGGACGTGCCTTGTAAGGTCAGGGGGACAAACCCAGTGTTTGAGGAACAGAGACTCCACACCTGTCGAGTCTCTTTGGAGAACCTACAGGGGAGAGGGGCTGCTCAGAGTGCCCCACAGCTTGGGCCCCTCCCCTTCCCCTCGCTGCCTCCACCTGCCCCACCGCAGCCTCCAGATGTGTGTTCTCCTCTTTAAGATGAGCTGGGCACGTCTTAAAGGAGCATGAGCTCCTTACTAGAGCTAAGACAGGCTGACATTTTCAAAAGGAACTTGTCTAAATGCTAAGGTTAAAAAAAAGGAAATCATTACAGAAATAAACAGCATAGATGTAGTTTGGTTTCTGATCCCCAAGAACATTGAAAATCCTGGGATGGGTTCTTCAGGATAGCAAGGACAGGATCACCTGGGGTGTTTAGGTGAGGTGTGCCTGGGAGGACATTCTGGGCCCTTCTGAGTGTCAGGGACTGACAGGTCAGGGATGGCCTTGGGAAGGCAACTCTTACCCTCATCAGCATCCTCTGGAGATGGGACATTGGATACCCATGACCTTCCTAGCAAGGGGAGGGGAGGGGAGGTGGAATACTGCTCAGTAGGATCCTTAAATACTCGGCATGTAAGAAGATTAATAGTCACTCTTTTCTCTTAGAAGTTGGTTCCAGATGGTGCGTGTGTGTGCATACGTGTGCGTGTGTGTAGCATACGGGGTACGTGCACGACTACCCGGTATAGGAACAGGTACAAATTATTTGAATTGCAGAGAAAGAGCTTGACTCTGTGGACACTTTGGGGGGATTTCTGGGTTTACAGAACATGAGGTTTCTTTCCAGCTCTCTCCCACCGCAGAGTTCACTTCTCTGTCAAGTTAGTTTGGAACTGGCGTGTGAAATACAGAAAGTAGAGGCACAACTGAGAGTCACAGCAGCCCCATTCCAGGACCGGGGGATGCAGACTGTCTTTTCAGACTTGTTCTAACTGACTTCTCTCAGATCAAGTGCAGAGTACGGTGCTGGACCCAGGGGTCTGCCCCCACCACTATTACCTTGCATTTGTAAGGAGCTTTTAGTGTTTATTCTCCAGGGCATTATCCAACTGATCTCACAACATCCCATGCCTGGGAAGGGCAGAGATCATTATTCCCACTGAACTGGAAAGAAACCAGAGAAGCTTCAGCTCTTCAAGGGTAGGGACTGCATCCTGCCCACGTTTATAGCCCATGAGAAGCTTTGTGCACAGTGGGTGTGGTAAAGGTTGTGGGTGGCCTGGCCCGTCCCTGAGCCCTTGCCACTCTGTTAGCTCCACTTCCGACCTCCATCATTTGTTTCTGGACCCCAGGGGACAGCTAGAGAGCTGCATTTTCTGAGTGTCCAGGGACACCTCATCTCCAACCTGGGGAACCCCACTAAGACAAGGCTGTTTGGTGGGATTTGGTTTGTGAGGTCTGGTGTGTGAGGAAGGGGCCTGGCTCCTTGCTGGTCCCAGCAGAGCCGCTAGCCCAGTTTCCTCATTCTCCTTCAGTTACTTACAAGCAACTGGCCACCCACCTGGGTGTTTGAGAAGGCCCTGGGTACTCAGGCTTGCTGACCCCGGAGCAGAGGGTCAGCGGCACATCTCCTTGAGTGCAAGGGAGATGATTTAATCTCTTCACCCAGCTCTTCCCAATTGGACAGGAGGATTCAATCACTTCTCCTGCCTGGTTACAAACCCCTATCAGAGTGGGACGTCTCCTTTTTTGATCTCTTGGGGGATGGGGGTGTGCATCAGAAGAGTCCCTAGCTTGAAAGATGAGGCACAGAAAAGTGTTATAGAGATAAGGGAGAGTGGAGCAAAAAATGAGCAAAACAGAGCACTTGGAGGGAAATGGAAAAAAGAAAAAAAAAAAAGGGAAAATAGAGACGGAGTTCTCAGCTCTCTGACACTGGCACCAAATGAGAAAGCTCCTTGCTGTTTTGCACAGCTGCCTGCAAGCTGCCAAGTGGCAAAGGATCTAGGAAAGGCACAGGATTGGAAAGTGCTACCCAACAATCTGTGTATTCTGCAATTACCAAAGGGTAAGTGAGTAGAAAGCATTGACAGCTCCCAGGTTCAGATCCCCAGGGTCTGCGCTGCCAGGCCACCTAATGCCAGCCTGGGGAAGACACATCCCGGGAAACTGGTGCTTGCTCCAAGGGAAAGGCTTCCAGTCAATTAACCCTGTGGTCTGCTCTTTTGCCCTGGGGCTGGGGAAAGAGGGACGGCCACTGAGGTGGGTGGAACGAAGTCATGGAAGGTGGTGAGAAGGAGGCA